ACAGAGATGTTCCTGGGGACCACATGTGCCTGTGGGGTCCCCACAGCCCTGCCCTGCTGTGCCCTGCAGTGTACTTTGCCAGCCCTGGCACTGCATTCCTGTCCTCGTCCCTATGCCCTACTTGTGCCAGCCCATCTACATCCTTATCTCATGCCCATTCCTGTCCCTATTCTTACCCCATCCCCACTACCCCCCTGACTCTGTCCCTATCCCATCTTTATCCCATCTCTATCCTGAGCCTGCCCCATCTCCATCTCATCCCCATCAGTGGTCCTCACGCTGTTCACATCCCACCTCCACCTGGTCCTCACTACATCCCTGCCCAATTTCTGTCTGCATTCTGCCTTCACCCTCAACCACTGCCATCCCCATCCCATCCCTTCCTGTGTACGCATTCCACCTCCATCCCAGTCTCATCCCCATCCTGTCTCTGTCCTCATCCTCTCACCATCCCCTCTCAATCCCCGCATCCCTGTCTCTGCTCAGTGCCTGTCTTGTTCCAGGTTGCTCCTGCAACCCACTGGGCACCGACCCCAGCACCTGCAGTGCCCAGCAGTGTCATTGCGATGTGCGCAGCGGGCAGTGCCACTGCCTGCCCAACGTGGAGGGACAGAGCTGCGACCGCTGCAGCCCCAACTTCTGGAACCTGGGCAGTGGGCAGGGCTGCCAGCCCTGTGCCTGCCACCCCCAGCACGCCCTGAGCCCTGCCTGCAACCAGGTGAGATACAGCAGGGACAGGGGGGCAGGATGGGGCTGGGGGTGTGCTGCAGCAGTGCCAAACTTTGTTTCATCCAGTTCACAGGGCAGTGCTCGTGCCGGCCAGGCTTCGGGGGGCAGACCTGTTCTGACTGCCAGGAGCAGCACTGGGGTGACCCGCGGCAGCAGTGCCGAGGTGAGAGGCAGTGCTGGCAGGGGGACTATGGCAGGCCCTGTAGCACCCTGACACCGCTGTCCCCACAGCCTGCGACTGTGACCCCCGTGGCGTTGCCAGTGCCCAGTGCCACCGTGGCAGCGGCCACTGTGACTGCCGGCCCGGCATCTCCGGCGTGCGCTGCGACCAGTGCGCACGGGGCTTCTCCGGCATCTTCCCTAGCTGCCAGCCCTGCCACCCCTGCTTTGGGGACTGGGACCGCGTGGTGCAGGACCTGGCTGCACACACCCGGGCACTGGCACAGCGCGTCAGCCTCCTGCAGCACACCGGGGCTGCCAGCGCCTTCCAGGGCACCTTCCGGCGGCTGGAGGAGAACCTCGCCACCGTGCGGGACATGGTGGCTGCCCATAACACCACCATTGGTACTGCTGCCCACCTCACACACGCCACGGAGGGGCTGCGGTGAGCACTGGGTGCAGGGCATGGCTCGCGGCGGGGGGGGGGGCACTGGGAGCGGGTTGTCACCCCATGCCCTTACAGGCGGCACATCGAAGAGGCAACGGAGAGGCTGACGCGGGTGGAGGGGGAGCTGACGGCTGCCCAGGATGCCAACTTCAACGCCAGCCACGTGCTGAGTGTGGTGGACCGGGGTGCCCGTGCCCTCAACCACAGCCTGCAGGACCTGGAGCAGCGGCTGCAGGCCCTCAAGACCTCCAATTTCCTTGGTGAGATGTGCCACAGAGCTGGGGCAATGGGACCATGGCAGGGGGTCTGACAACGCCCCTGCTTCACCCAGGTGCCTATGACAGCATCCGTGAGGCCTATGGGGAGTCACGGGATGCAGAACGCCAAGCAGACACCTCCACCCGTGCTGTACCCAGCCCCATCAGCACCTCCGTGGCCACCCGGCACCGCACCGAGCATCTACTGGCCACCCATAGGGATGACTTCAACCGCCAGAACGCAGCCAGCCGGCGGGCACTGATGGACCTGGCGGCGAGAGCACAGGCGCTGAGCCTGCACCCCCTCAATGAGAAGGTGGGATGCGCGGTGGGGACCATGGGGATGGTGCCTGGAGCCGCACTGAGCCCGCGCTGCCGTGCAGGTCTGCGGTGCTGTGGGTGACGTGCCCTGCGCTGAGAGCCCCTGCGGAGGAGCTGGGTGCCGGGATGAGGATGGGGGACGGCGCTGCGGGGGTCTGAGCTGCGGCGGAGCTGTGTCCACGGCAGACAGTGCACTGGACCGGGCACGCCATGCGCAGGAGGAGCTGCAGCAGGCAGCCAGCGACATGGCCCAGCTCTCCCACAAGGTACGTGGCACATGGGAGCGGGTGGGAAAGCCATGCCCCACAGCCTTTATGGCTGAGACCGAGGTCTCTGCCCCTGCTCAGGTGGCTGAGGCCAAAGGGAAGGCAGATGAGGCTCGGCTGCGGGCACAGGCGGCTCTGGACAAAGCAAACCAGACCAGGGCCCGTGTGGAGAGCTCCAATAAGGAGCTGCGGGAGCTCATCAGCCACATCAAGGCCTTCCTGAGCCGTGAGTGCCAGCGTGCAGGAGGGATGGCACCCTGCCCGGCCCCTGCACCGCACCGCCCTGACCCTGCACTGCACTGACCCCACACCGCACTGCATGGTCCCTGCACTGCATGTGGGGCTATACAAACCCAGCACCACACAGCCCCTACCCCATACTGTGTTGCATGGACCCTGCCCTGCCCTGCCCATCCGGTGAGCCCCATCCTGTGATGTTGTCCCATGACAACATCCTGTGTCACTCCAAACATCCTCTGTCCCATTACCCTCCACCCCTGCCCTGTGGTTGTATGCCATAATAACCTTCATAGCTCTCTCCCTATGGCTCTCCCTCATATTTCCCTCCATGTTTCCCCCCCCGTATCTCCCCTCATGTTTCCTCCCCCTGTTTCCTCCCCATGTTTACCCCCCATGCCTTCCCCTCATGGCTCTCCCCCACGGTCCCCGATGTCCCCTCCACCCCGGGGGTGCCACAGGAAACACCCTGACATCTCCCACCCTCAGAGGAGGGCGCCGACCCCGAGAGCATCGAGGTGGTGGCCAGCCGTGTGCTGGAGCTCTCGCTGCCAGCCGCGCCGGCGCAGATCCACCGCCTGGCCGAGGAGATCAAGGCGCGGGTGCGCAGCCTGGCCAGCGTGGACGCCATCCTGGAGCAGACGGCCGGTGACGTGCGCCAGGCCGGGCAGCTGCTGCAGGAGGCACAGCGAGCGCGGTGAGCCAGGGGACACGGGGACGTGGGGATCCCCGGAGTGGGCTGGTGCTGAGGCCGTGCTGCCCTGGCCGCAGGTCGCGGGCTGAAGGCGTGCGGGACACGGCTGAGGCGGTGCGGCAGGCGCTGGAGGAGGCGCGGCGGGCACAGGGCATGGCGGAGGAGGCACTGCAGCTCGCCACGGGTGACATCCAGCACAGTGAGAGAGCGCTCGGCACGGTGAGAGCCTCGTCCCCATCGCCTCAGCATGGGCACACCATGGGGATGTGAGCAGCAGGGCGAAGGAGGTGATCCTGCCCCTCTGCTCTGCTCGTCTGAGACCCCACTTGTAGCACCATGTGCAGTGCTGGTGTCCTCAGCATAAGAGGGACATGGAGCTGGTGGAAAAGACCAGAGGAGGCCATGAGGATGATCGGGGCTGGAGCACCTCCCGTCTGAAGACAGGCTGAGAAAGTTGGGGCTGTTCAGCCTGGAGAAGAGAAGGCTGTGTGGAGACCTCATAGCAGCCTTGCAGTATCTGAAGGGGGCCTATAGGGATGCTGGGGAGGGACTCTTCATTAGGGACTGGAGTGAATAGGACAAGGGGTAACAGGTTAAAACTTAAACAGGGGAACTTTAGATTGGATATAAGGAAAAAAAGTTCTTTACTGTAAGGGTGGTGAGGCACTGGAATGGGTTGCCCAGGGAACCTGTGAATGCTCCATCCCTGTCAGTGTTCAAGGCCAGGTTGGACAGAGCCTTTGGTGTCATGGTTTAGTGTGAGGTGCCCCTACCCATGGCGGGGGGGTTGGAACTGGATGACCGTAAGCTCCTTTCTAACCCAAACCATTCCATGATTCCCTGTGGGCACCCTGACCATGCCCATGCCACCCCTCGCAGATGCAAGCCCAGACAGCAAGTGCCGAGCAGCGCCTGGCGGGCGCCATGGGTCAGATTGGGGTGCTGGATGGGCAGATGGATGCCCTGAAGGTGAAACGCGCCAACAACAGCCTGGCAGCCACGCGAGCACAGGAGGCGGCCGGCACCGCGCGGGACCGTGCTGGCGAGGCCAAGCAGGTGGGTGAGCACAGGGGGGGATACAGGGGGAGGTTGCAGGGGTCCCATTGACCATGCCCACCATGCACAGGTGCTGGAGGGGCCGCTGCGGGACCGGTACCGCACGGCGCAGGAGCTGGTGCAGCACCGTGCCGAGGGCGCGCGGCAGGCAGGCAGCCGGGCACAGCGCCTGCGGGACGAAGCCGCGGGGCTGCTGCAGGACGCGCAGGGCAAGCTGCAGCGGCTGCGAGGTGAGGCTGTGGGCTGCGGGTGGTGGTGGTGGTGGTGGCAGAGGTCTGGGCTCACTGTGTGTCCCCATTTCATCCCTGCAGCGCTGGAGGAGGAGTATGAGCGCAACGAGCGTGTGCTGGACGCCAAGGCGGCCCAGCTGGGTGGGCTGGAGGCCAGGATGAGGGACGTGCTGGCCACCATCAACCAGCAGGTCCAGATCTACAACACGTGCCAGTGAGGACACCCCCGAGCCCACATAGCCCCTGCCTGCGGTGGGCACGGTGGAGCTGCAGGGCACCTCCTGTGTGAATAAAGTTACAGAGCAAGAGTGCTGTGTCTGCCTGTACCGTTGGTGGCTGGCCCCACAGCGGGTGTAGGCCACGGCGGGGACGGGGCGGTCGGTGGGGACAGGCTGCAGGCCCGGCCCGTTGCTATGGGAACGCAGCCCGGTCGCGCCCTTGGAGGCGGGTTGCCTCTCCGGCGCCGTGGTGACGTCACGGCTGGCGTCGTTGCCATGGTGCCGCCGAGCGGCCGGCTTCGGCTCGTGGTCACGTGGCCACCCTCGCCTTTCCTTCCCTCCGCCCAATCGTGTTTCCGTATCACATGGTCTCGTCCGCCGGCTTCCGGAAGTGCGTCACAGGGCTCGGGCCTGTCGCCGTTATCGGCCCGCTCGGGAGATCGGCTCCACCGAACACCAAGTGGAGCAGCGGGGCCGGCAGTGAGTGTGCGCGGGACCGGCTGTGTGTGTGTGTGTGTGTGTGTGTGTGTGTGTGTGTGTGTGTGTGTGTGTGTGTGTGTGTGTGTGTGTGTGCGCGCGCGCGGCGGCCGGCAGCGAGTGCGGGGCCGGGAATGCAGGGCGGGACCGGCGGGCAGGGCACCGGTGGCGGTGTGAGGCCGGGATGCGGCCCGTTGGCTGGGTGTGGGGGACACGTCGGGCCGGGCCGCGGGTGGAGCCGGGGCTGGGATCTGATGCTCCGCTGCGGGGGCCTCGCACGGTTCTCGCCGCCCTTCCCTCTCTGGATGCCGGGCGGTGACTTGTCGGGTTCATCACCCCCAGAGTCTTGTGAGGGGCTGGGGAACGCGGAGCTGGAAGCACGGTGCGGTGCACGCGGTGGTTTCCATACGCTGTGTGGGGTCTGTGCTTGTTCTGGCCCAGCCTGTGTGTCGGGCGTGCTGGGAAGCTGAAGGAAGAGATGAGCTGGAGTCTTGAGGTTTCTGATCTGTCAGGGAGATAAGGAGCAGAAGGTGATGGAAGTACCTGTGTGCATGGGAAGTGTTTCTGTCAGCTGTATTTGGGACATGGAGGAGTATGGAAGGATGAGCTGGGAGACGGGCAACCTGCTTCACAGCCACCCTTTTTGGGTGCTGAGAGCAGAACCAGGGGACCTCTTCCTGCTAAATGTGCCTCAGACACAGGGGGTGAATTACATCTTGTGCACCCTCTGATGTTGTTCCCTAAGCATTTACGTTAGCCCTGTCTGGCGCTGCCATAGGAAGGCACAGCCTTTCTCCCCAGTCCCCATTCTCCCCGTTCTCCCATTCCTGAGTTTCCCCTTTCCTGTGGCCAGTGGAAGTGTTTGTGCAGCCCCAGCATGAGCTGTACTGGGAGCTGCTCTGTGGCAAGACAGCATTTCCCTCTGGCTGCTATCTTGATTTGGTACATGCTGCAGCCACATGGGTGCTTGCAGCAGCACAAGGCTGGACAGCAGAGGCTCAGCAGCAAGACCAGGCTTTTGCAGCTCAGAGGATTGAGTTAGGTCCTGTACCAGTGCCCTGGAGGTTCCCCTGGCATCCACCCAGAGTGGCCTTTCGCCATCACTCCCCTGCAGCAGCTCCTACAGTGCCAAACCCTCTGCTCTGCATGTCCCGGGGATGAATGTCCTGCCTGGCTGTGTGCTTCCTGGTGGCAAAGAGGCAGAAAGGCTCAGGCCTATGGCAGGGGGTTGGACCTGGGTGATCGTAAGGTCTTTCCCAACCCAGACCATTGTATGATTAGAATAGGTGAATGGGAATAACTTCTATTAATGGGAATAGCTGCTTTGCCTACACTCCTCCAAAACCCTGTGTTGCCCACGGTGGCCTTGGACTGCAGTCAGTCTGGCAGCTGGAATTTGGCAGAGCTCTAGGTTCTTGGGGCTTTTAGGAATCACTGTCACCAGAGCACCTGAGGGAGCTGAGCCCTCACTGGCGTGCGAGAGCAGCAGGATTCTCACGGAGGAGGGGCAGTAGCACACAGCCATGTGGTTCTCCTCACACCTTCCTGTGCAGAGGATGGTCCTTGTTCAGCTTGCTGCCACCCTGCCCAGCAGTTACCCTGTGCCACCCCTCCAGAGGCACAGGAAGGAGGCAATGGAGCCTCACTGGCCCTTCATGAAGCAGTTGCTGCTTCTTGTCTCCTGCTCCTCCTGGGGCTCTCACCATAGGGGCAAAAGAAATTCAACAAAATACAGTTTCCCGAACCCAGTGGGAACCCAGTGGGAACCCAGTGGTTCACTTTCTGGGTGCTGGGAATTTTCTGCAGCTGATCTGTTCTGGTGTCACTGGGGACTGGAGCTGAGCCACAGCGTGCTGCTTGTGTCAGACCCAGCCCTGCGAAGCACAGTGAGGGGCCCTTCCCATTCCCTCTGCAGCCAGGGGTGCTGCTGTGTCCTGGTGAGACCCAGTGTGTGCAGCAGTTTGGGGGTGGCACTGCTGTCCAGGGCTAATGCCAGGCCCTTCCTCATTTCCAGGTTGTTTTGGCCTCTCCACGCAGCAGTGGGAGGTGTCTGTGCCAGGCAGCTGGGCTGGAATTAGTGTTGAGCTTTTTGTTGGCGTCGGTGGCTCTTGGTTACGAGGGAGGGTTGGGTGAAGTGGTTTGGGCACGGTGCCTGGCATGGGGCTGGCTGTGCCAGGGCTGAGGGCAGGGCAGGACCTGGCTCTCTCAGGTCCCTTCTGTTTGTGGCTGCAACTCCTTGTTTCTGGCTACTTGCTGTCCTGAGGATCTATAGAACTCAAGCACTCTGGGGATGTGGGGCTTGTGCTCCCTCTAACCAAGTACTTCCCTTGGAGGTGCTTCCTTCCCCTGTCTGTATCTGAGCAGAGCGGTGGGGTCTGTCGTAGGTCTAGGGGCAAGGGCAGAACAGGGTATTCCTGAGGGCAGGGAGGGAGAGGCAGGCTCAGTGGAGCTGGGCTGGAACAAGGTGCTGTTTGGCTCAGCTCTGTGTCCTCAGGCAGAAGCAGGGATGCAGAATGAGGTGTGAATCAGTGCCCCGGGAGCTGCTGCAGGGTGGGCAGGATCCATGTGGACTGGCAACCCCCTGCAGACAGGGTGTGCTACCAGGGCCAGCAAGAGAGGAAGAAGCTTTCCCAGCTCTTTGCTTCCACTGCCTCCACCTTGAGTGGGACTGCTGTCAGCGGGTTGTTCCATCTCTCCTCTATCAAAGCCATGTACACCCAAGAGAGAAGCCAGAGAGCAGGACACTGAGTGGGCCTTTGAGCCCGCAGCTCCACACCCCCCAGGGGAGCTGCCTGCAAGGGCATGTCCAAGGGAGCAGGGTGAGCACTCTGCGGTCTCCCTGGGGCAGCAGAAGCAGAGGTGTCCTGTTTCCAGGCCAGGCCCTGCTGCTGCTGTCTGTAACCCAGCGGGGAGATGAATATGCAAGGCGCAGCGCTCCTGCTTGAGCTCTGAGCTGGTGGGTGGAGAGGAGGAACTCTGCTCCTGCCAGGGAGCTCCGCTCTCATCTGTCACGGGAGCCTGGCCGGAGCTGCTCCTGCTTCTCCCCTTTCTTCCTTCTTAGGGCGTTACTCGCTCCTGCTCCCGCCCTCTTACATGGGGCACTGCTTGACTGAAATAGCCGCGGCCGCAGCCGTGGGGCAGCCTGACCCCACGGGCTGCATTTCACACCCTGGGGCTGCCCCATGTCCTCACCTCTGCCTCCAGGTGTCATTACTGCACCGGCGGCTCCTTTGGGCCAGGGTTTGCTGTAATGGGAGCCACAAGCATGACAATAAAAAAAAAACCACCTTTCCAGGTTTTTAATGTGTGGCACACGTGGAAGACCCCCGGTTGTATGTTGGGAGCTCTGACAGGCCCATGTTTTTGGCAGTAAGTGTGGTAACAGCTGTGATGAGGTAGGTTTCCTCACCCAGCGCTGCCTGGGGCTTCCCATCAGTGCCACAGCAAAGATCGTGTGAGGGCACTGGCCTGGGGCAGAGCGTGGATCTTGATGCTATTGGGTCTTCTCCATCTACTCCTCCTGCCATGCTCGCTCTCTCCTGTCTTTAGGCCACCAGTTCCTTGCCAGAGGGTTTGACCACAGAGAGTCGCCAAGATAGCTGGGCCAGGAAGAAAACGTCGCAACCCTGACCCAGACTCCATCACCGACCCCGGCGGGCCATTTGTGCCCTCCAAACGGCTGAAGATGTCCAGCAGTACCAATGCCCCCGGCCAGAGGACGGTAACTCGGGGCTTGGATGATGCCGCCAACAAGAAGAAGCAGAAGGATCGAGCCAACCAGGAGAGCAAGGAAGGTGAGAGCCCCGCAGCAGTGCCGTGGGGAGCAGGCCCATGGTTTCTCAGCCCCGCAGCCATCTGCTGCTGGATAAGCAGATTTAACTAAGCACTTCCTGCAGCTTATGGTAACCCTAGTGATGTGGGATCCTCTTCTGCACACTGTCCTCTCTGGACCTGTAACCTCCTTCCTTCGAGCACTACTTAGCCCCAACTGTGTGAGGAAGGTCGGGCCTGTGGCTTTGTTAGCTTAAGCCTGAAGTTCGCCTTACTGGTTGTTTTTAGACTCTGCTTTTGGCTGGGTTGAGCTGCCCTGATCCGGAGTTGAGTGGGGCTGAAGCCTTCGGGTGCTGCTGGAGCTGGAAGTGCAGGATCCCATGCTATTGCTGAGGCCAGATGCAGGGCCTCTGGGTGGGGCTGGTGCGTTAACTTCTGTGTCAGGCCAAGGTGTGGCTCCAGTGGAATTGTTGCTGGGGAGTCATTCCCTCTGTGTATGTGATACCAAAAGTGACGCTTCAGGTGTAGTGAATGCCTGCGGGCAGGATGCAGGCCCTGGAAAATGGCTGGATTTCTGTGCCTGCTCCGTTAGGATTGTTGTAACCTCAAAATCACAGGGTGTTTTATAGGCCAAGGTAAATGAGGGCTGTGCTGGAACGGTGGCAGTCCCTGATGTGAAATCCCAGGATACAGAATAGTACCTTCTCTTGCATGGGAGATGGCTGTATCTCTCTACATCCCCTCTGTGCAGGGCCAGCAAGCTGTAGATCCTCTGAGCAGTGCTGCTGCAGCACTCCTCATACCACCAGCACCTTTGCATTAGTGACTGTGGTGGTCAGCAGAGGTTTCCTACTGGTTCATAGCTGGTGAATTAAGGTGGTGACAGCTCTCTGGGCAGTCCAGGGTGGAGACCTCAGCTCCCATCGCTGCTGTTCCTCTGCTCCAGGCTGAGGTGCTCTTGCTTTGAGGCCCCTGCCAGGCAGAGCTCACCACCCTGTTGGGGGTGGAGCAGGCCCTGAGATGCTTCTGGCTGTTGAAGCCAGTCCTTTTGGGGAGCAGGGATTAGGTATCAAGTCGGTTTGGTTCCCCAGCCTGATCTGGAAGGAGGTTTTGGCTGTGGGCATTGGCAGCTTGTGTGGGAATGGAAATGTTAAAGTGCAGTTGAGCCACGTGGTGTTCTCGTTACAGCAGGGTTGGTTTGAGCACAACCAAACATAGGATTCTTTCTGTCATATCCAGGCAGGGCTCCTCTAAGGCTGGAGGGGCTGAGCAGGAACACACAGCCTGATTACTGCACACACTGAAACATGCCTCAGAGCATCACTGTGTACTGCAGTGATGTGTTGTGCTCCCACTGTGGTGCTGTTTGGACTAGAATATGATGGTATGGCCCAGAGCAGCTGTCCTGGGGGCTGACTTGCTGTGGTGCTGCAGGCAGGGCTCTGGGGAAGGGAGAGGTGTGAGGAAGCAGAGGAGGGAAGTGAGCAGCACGTGCAGGATGAGAGGCCTGTGGAGCGGCTCAGGGGAGAAGAAGGTGAAGTGTGAAGTGTTGGGCATCCATACCAGCCCATGCTCTGAGGTGCCAATGACAGACCTGCCCACACTCTGCTTCTCTGCCCACCAGTGTCTCGCTCTGAGCTCGAGCAGGCTGAGGCTGCCCAGGAGAAGGACTCAGAGGAGGGTAAGTCAAGGTGTGCACCAGCTGCCAGTGCATGGCCACAGAGTGCCCTGTGCAGAGGGATCCGAAGCTCTCACCTTGTCCTTGCCCCACGCTGTGGCATTGAGCAGAACTAACCTAAGTGCTCCCTTGCTGCAGCCTTTATCTTAACAGGGTATGGCCCTCCCAGGGTGGAGAAAGGTGCACCTTCTCCAGTGCACAGTGGGAAGGGCTGTCTGCAAGGAAGAGGCCCTGGGCACGTGGCAGGCTGTGTCTAACTTGGGTGACACAGTGCCACTGAGCATAGCTCTGGGACACACTGCCACCAGCATCCTGCTTGTTTCTGAGCAGGGGACCATGCTGGCCTGGTAAGATCACAAGCCATGTCATCCATGGCTTGGGATCTGTTGGCTGGTTTCTGCTTGGTCTAGGACTGCTTTGAGGACAGAGTAGACATCCTCATGCTACAGAGGATACAACAAAACTGATTGAAATTAAGGTGATTTCAATCACCTTTTTGCTTTGAAGACATCAGGATGCCACAGGGCCAGACCTGGATCCTGGCAGGCACCAATGGAGGCTCTGCCTGCAGCAAGGTGCTGCTGCTTCACCTTTTTTGTGTTCTTGGTGGGTCTGCCCATGTCTCAGCCGTGTCAGCAGCACTCACCCAGCAGGAGCACAGTGCTTTGGTGACTGCAGCCAGGCTGCTTGGTTTGCACAGGCAAAAGGGAAGTGGCAGCTGCTGATTGTGGTCAGAGTCCACTTGAATCCCCCAGAGTCATTCTGTGGCTTCCTCATTCCCTGGGAAAGCAGTAATTGCTGTGTAGTTGGCAGGAACCACCCATTCTTCCACCCGCCGCTGCTGCATGTGGTGGGACCCACCAGCAGCGCTGCCTTCCTGATCCATCCATTTCCCACTGGGATTCACCTGGGCTCCACAACATGTGCTCTTGTTTGTGGCCTGTCCCATGGGAGCAGGTTGTGAGTGTCACCTGCAATGACCTCCTTGAATCAAGTGTGCATTGAGGCTCAAGTTTCTCAGCTGAGGAGTGGGCACTGCAGGCTCATGCCCCAGCGAGTGGATGACATTTCCCTCCCTCTTCCTAGAGCTGCTGCTGGACTGGAAGCAGAATGCCGATGAGATCATTGTCAAGCTGAATTTGGGCAGCGAAGCACTGAAAGTGGAGGATGTGGATGCTGCTTTCACTGACACAGACTGTGTGCTCAAACTACCAGGTATAGTGGGGAATAGAGAAACTGCTGTGCATGTTTCTCCAGTGGGGCTTGGCACAGTTCTGGACTGGATGTGGGGCTAATCCAGGCAGACATAAAACCTTCCCTTCAGGGGCAATGCCCTGCTCTCAGCTGGCACAGCTTCAGCCAGCAGGCAGGGCTGGTAGGAGAGCAGTGTAAAAGAAGAAGGGTGCAGAGCTGGGGAGGGCAGGAGCTGTCCTCTGCACCAAGTGAACAAATGTCCACTCCTGTGCTGGTGCTTTTCTGTCCCCTGCTTGATGGGATGGTTGAGTCAGCCCTGGGTATCCTTTAGAGAAGTGACTGTGCCCTAAAGGCAGAGAGGCCCAGGGCCTTCGGTCTGGGAAGGAGGCCAGCCAGATGTACAAAGCAAATCCATGGAAGCTGGCTGGAGCCCTGAAAGATCCTGGGGGATGGTGGCAACCTGCCTGCAGCCTCTGGCTCTGGATGAGTGCTTCCTTGATCCTTGGGGGCAGGTGAAAGGAGGCTGTGGGTTAGGTGACAGCTGACTGGAGCTCTGCCTGAGTTGCTGGTCCCCCTCTGCTTGCAGATGGGCGGCAGTGGAGCTGTCAGTTCTTCGAGGAGATTGAGGGCTCCTGCAGCAAGATCCAGTGCAAAAAGGGCAACTTTCTACATCTTGTGCTTCAGAAGAAGATCCCACTCCATACCTGGTCTTCGCTTCTGGTGAGGAGGGGAGGATCTGCCTTTTGAGAGAGCTCATGGAACCCAGGGGAGCTGGGGTGAGGGTTTCACTCCTTGCTCATGGGGCACATCCTGCATCCATGTGCTGCATGAGGGCAGTGAGCTAGCTGCCTCTGTCCCAGGGAGGGGGGCATCGTTGTACCCCTGTTTCTGCCTGCCACAAAGCCTCCAGGATCTGGAGTGGAGCTCTGGAAAAGGGGAGTGAGGGTGGGGGGCTGTCGGAGAATGTGAGGGGTGCTGCTACCTGGATACCTTCCCACTGTGCTGTGCTGCTTTTCACAGAAAAGAAGGAAAGACGGATCCAAAGAGCTGGCCAAAGGGGCCGCGTGCTGGGAGAACGGGAAGGAGAAGGCTGCTTCTGCAGAGCTGGCCTCTGAAGAGCCACGGGCTGAAAGCGCAGAACTGCCGAGATCCCGGCGGGAAGCCTCCAACCCCAAGCGTGCTCCGGGAAGGAGCGAGGCCCTGGGAGGGAAGAGCCCAGCCAGCCCAGGGACGCAGAGCGGCCCCAGCGCCAAGAGGGCAGTTTACCTCAAAGTGGCTCCCACTGAAGAGGAGCCCAATGCCAGAATCACTGGCAGCGTGGAGCCCAGCAAAGGGCACAGCGGGAGGGCCGGGAGCCGCCGCAACGGCAGAGCCAGCCAGCCAGATGCACCCTCGGCCCTTGCGGACCTCGCCGTGCCACTGGAGAAGGTACCCAAGGACACCTCTGCGCCCTCAGTCCCGGTGCAGGGGATGCTGCTCACACAGGGACCTGCTGCAGAAAAAATATGGACTCAGGCAGAGATCAATGTGATCAGACAAAAGTCGTTTATTACAAAGCATTAATCCTTTCTATACTGTTCTCTGCATCTGCTTACAATAGCTTGCTGTATTATAATCAGATATATTTATTATAATTGGATACATTTTCTTGTAACACACAGCAACTACGGTTACATTTACAATAGCTCACTGTATAATATTTGGATACGTCTACAATAGCTTGCTGTAGATAATTAGATACATATTCAATAGCTTGTTGTATTATGATTGGATACATATACAATAGCTTAGTATACTATACTTTGATACATATTCTTGCAGCACACAGCCACTAGTAACAATCAAATAAGCATATGAGAACTTAACCTTTAAAATTTGCTAACAGTCCACTATTTTGTATCTTAGTTTCTTCTTATCTTGCTTGCACCGTTACTTTTGCTTCTTTACCCACGTCCTCCTTCATCCTTGGTTCATGTCAAGCTCCATGTAGGCACTTGCTGACTTGGGAACGTGGCCATTCTCTGCTAAAAATCCATCCACAGGGACCCATCCCTTCTAATGAGATGGGCTCTGGGGTGCCATGGGTGGTGCTGTGGTGGAGGAGAGGGGAATGTGAGGACCACACAGTCACGGGACTGTGGTATTAAAGGAGCTGAGTCAAGCATGGGGGAGCTGACTGTGGAGCCGGGGGGTGACTCTCGCAGCTCAGGAGTGACGATGTCTGTTACTGTGTGTCTCTCTTGAAAGGCTGTGGCGCTGGCCAAGGAGACAGTTCCAGTGGAGATGCCACCGCTTGCAGCTACCACAGAGGTGTTCCCCCACTGCATTGCCACCTGTGTGGAGAAGAGAGTCCTGCAGCCAGGCAGCCCTGCTGAGGCCCTGCGGGGCCGGGACTGCACACCTGTGCTGGGAGAGAGCTCCAAGGCTGTCCCAGTGGCCACCCCTCCTCTGGGTAGAGGCAGTGAGAAGAGGGACTGGTCCAAGGATGACGTGGCTCTAGAAGCAGCAGCTGATGGTGAGTGGCTGGAACCAAGGAGTCAGCCTGGTCAAGAAGGTCCATCTGGGACCTCTAATGGGTCAAGCTCTAGAGCTGCCTCAAGCGTGCCAGGAACATAACATCTCTCTCTGTGGCTTTCCTCAGAGCCAGAGCCTTTTGTGAGCCTGACCTTTGTCAAGAATGACTCATACGAGAAGGGCAATGACCTGGTGGTGGTGCACGTCTACGTGAAGGAGATCCACAAGGAGACGTCCAAAGTGTTGTTCCGGGAGCAAGACTTCACACTGGTGTTCCAGACAAGGTACAAATGTGCCTCTGGATGGTGCCAGGCTGCTGCAGAGCTCCTGGCTGTGGCTGGGCTACTGCTTTATTCACCTTTTCTCACTCATTTCCCATTTCTTCACAGTGACACAAACTTCCTTCGCCTCCATCCTGGCTGTGGGCCCCACACAGTGTTCCGGTGGCAGGTGAAGCTCAGGTACGGCTCCTGCACTGGGGCAGGGGAGCTGAGAGTGCAGAGCTGGAGCAGGAGCCAGTCCCAGCTGATGTGTGTGTGTAGGGAATGCTCATTTCTGTACCTGGGGGTTTTCCCTAACACCATGCTGCACTAATGCCCCAAGCCTGGGCTGCCGTGGCTCAGTGTGGTGGCTTGCAAGGGAGGAAATCCCAGCATCTCCTTGCCTGCAGTTCCCCCCCCAGCCTGTTCTAGAGGTCTAGGGGACAGAGTCAGAGCAGCCTGTGTGCATTCTGGGTGGGATGTTCTGCAGAAAGGTGCATGTGGAGCAAGGTTCTACCAGGAAATGGGCCTGCTGTGTGGTCAGTGTGGCCAGGCTTGAGGGTTTCACCCTGCTTTTCCAGGGCCACCTTGGGATCAATGCTAGCTGGGTCCCTGGGGGCCATGGCTGTGCCTTGCAGAGGCTTCATCATACTTGAAGTTGCTTTGGGGGGCATTCTGGGGCACCCCTGACTTGCTGCTTGTCTTGCAGGAACCTTATTGAGCCAAACCAGTGCACATACAACTTCACGGTGTCTCGCATTGATGTCTGCCTGAAGAAACGCCAGAGCCAGCGCTGGGGTGGGCTGGAGGCTCCAGCCACACGAGGTCTGCACCCTGCCTCCTTGTCTTGCTGCCGGGGCTGTGTCCTCCAATGTGCAGTTGTGGTGGGGATGGAGAAGGGCTGAGCGGGTGTGGGTGGAAGGGATGTGGGGTAGAATGAGTGCTAAGGGAAGGGCACTGCTGTTCCCCTTGCTCACAGGGAAGAGGGGTAAGAGAGCCTGTGTATGAGCATGGACTGAGTGCCTCAGCCCTGCCATGGACTGCGCGGTGCTGCTAACCACAGGCCCACCCTTCCCCCTTTTTAAGGTGCAGTGGGTGGTGCAAAGGTTGCCATGCCTACAGGCCCTACCCCTCTGGAGAAGAACCCCCCTGGCAGCAACCAGCACCCCCTATCCGGCAAGGAAGAGGCCCGAGCCAGCGACAAAGAGAAGCCACGTGTGGAAGATGGGGGTCTGGATGGTGTGGCAGCACGTACAGCCCAAGAGCACGTGGCAGTGAAGCAAGAGCCACACATTCCCTCGGTGAGAGGGGCCTTGCTGGGTTTGACCTAGGTGGGGGGAAAAGGGAGGCTACTTGTCCTTTTAATGGGACCCCAGCTCCTTGGTGTCACTCTGGAGACTGGCAAACTTCCTGCAGGAGGAAGCAGCACTGCTCAGTTACAGCTGGCAGGATTAGGGGCGGTTGGCCTGTTTAGTTCTGGTGGGAGATGGTGTGATGGTTCCAGCCCTTTCTAAGGGGTGTCTTAGGCTTTTGGGTTCCCCTGGTGTTTCCCCCAAAGCAGCACCCTCACACCCACCTCTGCTTTGGCAGCCCAAACCTACCTGTATGGTGCCACCGATGACACACAGCCCGGTGAGCACCGAGAGCGTGGAGGATGATGAGGACGAGGATGAGAAGAAGAAGGTTTGTCTACCTGGCTTCACGGGGCTGGTGAACCTGGGCAACACCTGCTTCATGAACAGCGTCATCCAGTCCCTGTCCAACACCCGGGAGCTGCGTGACTACTTCCATGGTGAGCCCAGGCCAGGAGTCCCCAGAGCCCTGCACTCAGATGATGCAGCCAGAGACCACCCTGAGCTCCTGCATCTCTTACAGATCGGTCCTTTGAGTCGGAAATCAACTACAACAATCCGCTGGGGACGGGGGGCCGCCTGGCCATCGGCTTTGCCATGCTGCTGCGAGCGCTGTGGAAGGGCACACACCATGCCTTCCAGCCCTCAAAATTGAAGGTAGGGCTGCAGGCAGCAGCAGAGCCAAGCAGGAGCTGCTGAGGGTCCTCTATGGGTACCTACCTACCCTGTTAGTGCCACAGAGTGAGGTGGATGCGCGTGGTGCATCTAGGCTTTGTGTGTGAAGCAGTGGTGCTGCTGGCCAGCCCTGACTATGTGCTCCTCCAGGCAATCGTGGCCAGCAAAGCCAGCCAGTTCACTGGCTATGCCCAGCACGATGCTCAGGAGTTCATGGCCTTCCTGCTCGATGGCCTGCATGAGGACCTCAACCGCATCCAGAACAAGCCCTACACAGAGACTGTTGACTCAGATGGGAGGCCTGATGAGGTGAGGATGGCCTTTCCCTGGGAGAGCAGCCAGAGCCTGGGTAGTTCAGTGTGTTGCTAAGCCCTTTCTCCCTGCAGGTTGTAGCTGAGGAGGCCTGGCAGCGGCACAAGATGAGGAACGACTCTTTCATTGTGGACCTCTTCCAGGGCCAGTACAAATCCAAGCTGGTGTGCCCAGTGTGTTCCAAGGTAGGACAGTTCTGGAGTCTCTGTCCCTGTCCTGGCCATACAGCAGGCTCCTGACCCTCAGAAAGCACAGTTCACAGGGCAATGCTGAGGTGGCCCCATTGATTTTGGCCCCAGGCACTTCCCACAACTGAGTGTGTTCCCTCATCTGCAGGTATCCATCACCTTTGACCCATTCCTGTACCTCCCGGTGCCCCTTCCTCAGAAGCAGAAGGTGCTGACTGTGTACTACTTTGCAAAGGAGCCACACAAGAAACCCATTAAGGTAAAAGGACATTATCTACTCTGGTGGGGAGGGAGCCTGAGAGTGCTCCTGGAGGTGCCCCAGGCAGCTGGTCTTGTGCCCACAGGCTAAGCCTTGTGTTAAGTAAGGCCCACGCATGCCTTGGTGTGGTGTGACTGATGTGGTGCTCTCTTGGTGGCAGTTCCTCGTGAGTATCAGCAAGGAGAACTCCAGTGCCATGGAGGTGCTTGACTCAGTGGCCCACAGTGTGCGTGTGAAACCAGAGAACCTGCGCCTGGCAGAGGTGAGTGTGCTCACGGGCTACTCTTGTGGGTGCCCCAGTTCCCACAGCACTGCAGGGAACATGTTTACTGATAGTAGCTTGTCCATATGCAATGCGTCCATGGGATGGATTGTCGTGGTTGGCAGTGTCATGCACAGGGTGCTGCTGGGCAGATCAGGAGGGTAAGGGATGTCCATTCTCCCTTGGTGGGGTAGGGAGCTGAGCACAGCATCCCTGTGGTGCCGCTGTCCCACAGCTCATTGTAGGGCTGAGGCTTCCTGAGGAGAGGAAGCGTGGGACAGCCCTCACACAGCCCTGCTCTGCTTTCCTGGCAGGTGATCAAGAATCACTTCCACCGCATGTTCCTGCCATCCAACTCACTCGACACAGTCTCCCCCACGGACCTGCTGTTCTGCTTTGAGGTGCTGTCCCCAGAGCTGGCCAAGGAGCGGGTGGTGGAGCTGCAGGTCCAGCAGGTAAGAGGGGTAACACTGAGACTACTTGTGAGGCTGAGCAGGAGGGGGAGAGCTGCAGCAAGGGTGACGAGCTTCAGTGAGCACCGATGCCCACCGAGGCTGCCTTGTCCTGCGCAGGTGCCCTTCCCTGCCCAATGGGTCCTTTCTCCTGCAGCGTCCGCAGGTGCCCAGCGGCCCTGTGGCCAAGTGTGCAGCCTGCCAGAAGAAGCAGCTCTCGGAGGATGAGAAACTCAAGCGCTGCACGAGGTGCTATCGAGTCGGTTATTGCAACGTGTGAGTTGGCTGCCACAGAGGGAGGGTCTCTTGCTTGGAAGGGCTGGTTGGGATTGTTCATCCTCCACCATGTGGGATGGAAAGGATCCAGTCTGGCTCATGATACTCCCCTCATCCCCACTGTGCCCCTTTGGCCTTGTGCTTCTGCCCGGGCTGGTCATGATGCTGGGTTCAGCAGGGGCTGTATGTGTTACAGGGCATGTCAGAAAACACACTGGCCAGACCACAAGGCTTTGTGCCGCCCCGAGAACATCGGTTTCCCCTTCCTCATCAGCGTGCCCGAGTCCCGCCTCACCTACGCCCGCCTGGCCCAGCTGCTGGAGGGCTACGCAAGGTGAGGGTGCAGGGAAGGAGGGTGCCCCCGCCCCAGAGCCCTGTGCCTGCCCTGCTCTGACTCCTACCTTCTTGCACAGGTACTCAGTCAGTGTGTTCCAGCCTCCGTTCCAGCTGGCACGGATGTCACCAGAGCAGGGGCTGCAGCCTTTGCTCCCGGACAATCTGGAACCCCTGCCCAAGAGCAGTTGTGCATCAGCCACCTCTGCCCCCGAGCTGGAGGACAGGGACAGGACTTCCAGCCTCCTGCAGGAGCCCCCTCTGTCGCCAGCTGTGCCTGAGCTGCATCCAGAGATCGGAGATAACAGCACTGACCGGAGCAAGGTCCTGGCAGCCAGGAGTTCCCTGCTGAGCCTGGATTCAGGCTTCCCCGAGCACATGTTGTTGCAGGGCGATAGCTGCTGTGAGAAGGAGCCGTCTTATGAGCGAGCCCTCAAGCCAGAAGGTAAGAAGTGCTACAGTGCTCACCATGGCTGTGCCGGGAGCCTGGGCTGCCCCAGGACAAAACAGGAGCAATTCTCCCTTCTTGAGCTGACCTTCCACCACAGTATCTGTTGTGAGCTGGGTTTGGGAACATAAACGAGGCCCTGGGAGCTGTGTTTTGGCAGCACTGCCCCACCTGAAATGCCTTCCTGCCCACGCTCTGCCTTGCCCTGGGGCAGCAAAGCGGAGACCTGACGGGGCTGGAGCGCTGTGTTGCAGTGAAAGGGGTGGGGAGGAAGGTGGAGGCTGGCAGAAGCCTCCCATGGGAGGGCCAAGCCCCTCTGGGCTGCGAGCGCAGCGCTTCCCTCGCTGTGACTCAGCTGCACGGGAGCAGCCTCTCGCTCTGCTTGCCTGTCACGTTTTCCAGCCACTTGTCTGGGGATGGCAGCAATGTGCAGCAAAGGGGCAAGGCAGAGGAGCACAGCTTGCCAGGGGCAGGCGCCTGCTAAAAATAGTCAAGGACACGGGGCACGTGGTTGTGTCCCTGCAAGGCCGTAGCATGTGAGGTGGGGGTGGGAGCACTGCGAATTCTTGGCCCCTACGCAGGGCAGACAAGGCAGTGCCACCACAGAGCTGTCCCTGCCTGCCCACAGCTGCCATCCCTGGGTACCAGCACACTCCAGACTCGCTGAGCGCCCGCGCCACACAGTTCTACATCAACAAGATCGATGCTGCCAACAGAGAGTACAAGCTGGAAGATAAAGGTGAGCTCAGGGCCATGGGAAGTGCCACCTTTACCCCTCATGGCCTCTGGCAGCAGCTGCCCAGCACAAAGTGAACTCAGATGGGATGGTGGCCCCCAGGCTTTATCTGGCATAGGGGAGGGCATGGCTCTGCTGTATAGAGCCTGGAAGCTCTTCTCTGGCATGACATTCCTGCTCTACTCAGCAAATAGATCAATTCCCTTCAGTCTCCTGTATCCACAGAGGGTCTGTGATCTCTGAGTCACCTCTTGTCTGAATGGGATGCTCTCATCCAGTGCTGGTTATGTAGGTGCTGCCAGCCTTGTCCACTGCTGTTTATGGATTCTGCTGCTCTGGGGTGGTGAACCTGGCCATGGGGTCCCTTCCTGGCAGCAGTGTATAACTGCTGTATCGAGCTGGGATTAGCAAGCATCTAGCCCCAACAAAGTGGCTTGGCCCAGGCATGTGAGGTATGTGCCCCCTCTGCAGGTGACACCCCCCTGGAGCTGACAGATGACTGCTCCCTCGCCCTGGTGTGGAAGAACAATGAGCGCCTCAAGGAGTTTGTGTTGGTGGAATCCAAGGAGCTGGAGTGCATGGAGGACCCGGGCTCAGCCAGCGAAGCAGCCCGTGCTGGCCACTTCACCCTGGAGCAGTGCCTCAACCTCTTCACCAAGCCTGAAGTTCTGGCCCCAGAGGAAGCGTGGTGAGGACAGTGGCAGGGTGGGTTCCAGTCCGGGGGTCCAGGCACCAGCGGGGGTTTCCCAGGAGCTGCCTGGACTTGCACACTGCTGCTGCTGGCAGGCAGGAGCGCTGGGGAGGCCGTAAGCCAGCAGGAAGCAATGCCAGCACTCCACAGGACTGTGCTGCCTGATCCTGGCAGGGGAGGCTGAGACCTCCTGCATCCCATTGAGTGGGGGACCTTGGGGGTGACCTGAGGCTCTCCCCACACCGGTAATGAGCTCGCTCTTCCCCCAGGTACTGCCCCAAGTGCAAGCAGCACCGTGAAGCCTCCAAGCAGCTGATGCTGTGGCGGTTGCCCAATGTCCTCAGCATCCAGCTCAAGCGCTTCTCCTTCCGTAGCTTTATTTGGAGGGACAAGATCAATGACATGGTGGACTTCCCTGTCCGGTGAGAGCCTGGGGAGGGGCACAAGGTTGCCTAGGTTGGCACTGCCTGTGCTGCCATCCTAATGCTGCTCAGCCCCTGACTGTCCCCATGTCTCTCCCCAGAAACCTGGACCTGAGCAAGTTCTGCATTGGCCGGAAGGGCGAGCAGCAGCTGCCCGTGTACGACCTGTATGCTGTGATCAACCACTACGGAGGCATGATCGGGGGGCACTACACAGCGTACGCCCGCCTGCCCAATGACAAGAACAGCCAGCGCAGCGACGTGGGTGAGGATCTGCCCCCTCTCTGTCCCCAGCCCTGCTTCTTCAGTGGCCTGGCTGCTCACTTTAACCCTTCTTTCCTCCTCAGGCTGGCGGCTCTTTGACGACAGCACAGTCACCACCGTGGATGAGAGCCAAGTGGTAACCAGATACGCCTATGTCCTGTTCTACCGCCGGAGGAACTCTCCTGTGGAGAGACCCTTGCCAGGGCACCCCCCGGACCACCGAGCCGAGCGCACCCCCTCTGCCGAAGCTGCTGCCAGCCAGGTGAGAGCTCGCATCCCTTTCGGCACTGTCAGAGCCCACAAAGCCTTGAACCGTGCTCATGGGCAGGGCCTGACCTGTCTCTGCCAGCACCCGTGGAGCCTGGCACGGCACCGCTGCGGTGCCTGTCCCTCTTGGACACTGAAGAGCTTGCACCAGCCAGGCACTATGGCCTGCAGTGCCCTGTTCTTGCTGTTAGCATGGGACACTCTCTGCACTGAGGGACTATAGGAGAGCTGATTCATGTCATCAGGGTGGGAGGGCGCAGGACCGGGCTCACTCTGCTGGTGTCTGCACTGGAGGCAGGCTGTGAGCGGTGTGGTAGGCTCTGGCTGTGCCAGGGATTGGTGAGAACCTGCCCTCTGCAGCTACACCGCAGTCGGGGTGAGGGGGAGATTCTGTGTGCTGGGGCCCAGCTCAGGGCCAAGCTAGGTGCAAAAAAGGCAAGGGCAGCACTGAGCCTGAGCCTGGCAGCCTCTGCTGTGTGCTGCTGGAGGCAGACCTGCTAGAGCGGGCTCTGCTGCCGGGCCACTCGGCAAGGAGGGCTGTGCCGGCAGCACTGTGCTCTCCGCGTGTGCTGGTGGGGAGCGGGTGGACTGGTCTTCATGTGAGTGTCAGACAGGGGGACACAGCTCGGCACCCTCCTGGCCAGCCCCCTGCATCCTGGGCTGCAGCTCTTCCCCCTGTGCTTGATGTGTGGGGTCTGAGGACAATGCTCAGCTCTGCACAGCTGCGCATGGGGCCGTCTGGCTCATGCATTCCTCAGCCTGGCGCTGATTTTGGCATCGTGGCTCTCGGCTGGGGACAGGAGCTGCCTGTCCTTGGAGCCAGGGGCTGTCTGGCAAGTTGGTGTCTGCCTGCCTGGGCCGCTCCTTGTAAGCAGCGAGGAGAAGCAGACAGGCCAACCCAATATGGGTGATAAGCAAACTTCTACTTTATTTGTGACATATATATAGGAGTGGTATTCAGCCACTCCTCCTTGGCACAACAGTATTGGTTAGCCCCACACAGCTTCCTCCACATTCTCCTCCCATGTCCGGTTTCCGGTTACCTGTGGGGGCCACCCCCTGCCTTGCTCACACAGTCCTCCAGGGCTCTATGGTCCTGCTCCTAGAGTCATTCTGCAACACTTCCCCCCTTTTTCTTTGTGTGAGCAAGGCATTATGGGTTATTCTGTTCACCTGTTTTATCACACAACTGTAAGCAAGTCTAATAGCTACGATGATTAACCTAACAATGATACATAAGTGCAATACTTTAAACAGCAGTGTTTGACTGTAATGCCCCGTGAAGACAACCATCTAGTTATTCTTAGGATATTGCTCATTTACTATTGCTGGGTAAGCTGAGCCAGGGTTCTCAGCTGTGCGTGCATCGAATTAGCATAATCAGAGAGACTCATACAACACATTCCATCAAACTCTTCACATCCCTATCCCTGTTCCAACAGCAAAAGGTTCTGCAGTGTTGCATGTCTCACAGAGTCAACATTAAAACAAATCAGAAATTGCCTTCGATGTAGAATTGTCTGCTTAGCAACTCAGCAACCCAGTCTGCTTAGTTGAGCCAAGGCCCTGGTTGAAGCACTTACAGTGATTTGGCATATTATGATTGGATACATGTTTTGAAGACCCTTAGTGACTAGCATATAATTGGTTAAACACAGGTGTGAGAACTCAACCTTGAAAGCTTGCCAACAGTCCACAGTTCTCATTAACTTGGTGAATTCCAGCCTCTTATCTTGCTTGCTTAAGCTTCTTCAGGCCTCTCATGGCCTTGCTGTATCTTTCAGGACTATTCAAAGTTTATGTACCAATTATGCATTCTCCCGTGAGAACACTGTCTCCACATCTCCCCCCTTTTGTTTTATCCAGTAACAAGTCGCTACTACAGCAAGGCACACACACATTTACATTAGCAGAGTAACTGTTACAGGGTGCAGCAGCATGTCGAAGATGCTGATGGCAGTGAGGGACTAGCCAAAGAAATTTCTTACCAGTGGAATTCTCCCACCCTCTTAATTTGTTCCATCACCTGCTTTATAAGACTACCATTGTATTAAAATCTTTCTAGCTTTTGCCTTAGCATTTTCTAGCAGCTACTGCAAATTTCCATACTCTAACATCTCTTTTACAAGTGACAAATCTATACAATACAAGGTGCAGTTTCTTATTAGCAACTAGCTAGTAAATACAGGTGGTTTTATACACAAAATCACAACCTCTAATAATAGCTACTTTACAAGCACACATATTCAGGATGTTACTTTTCAGTTGTCCCCAAGTGATGTCTTGCAGTTAATCGTTCTTTCTCTTCCTCTATCTCATTCTGCTTGGGGTATTCACGGTCAGCTCCTGTAGCTGAGGCATCAGGTTTTTCCATTCGTCTGTCCAGCTCATGGCAAGGCTTCACAAACTGCAGGCAGTCGCCATGGACCTGTAGGCAGGAGAACACAAATATACCCCCTCCCCCAGGTTATCAGTTCTTGAGAAGCAGACAGGTTAAACTGCACATTGTTAACTGTCGAGAAGTTTGCTGCATCATTGCTCTTTTCTCTTGTATTATTTTTTTTTTTAATCCCTGCAAAAGCCGGCCTGCTCCGCAGCAACTATAAGTACCTGCCGGCAGCCGCACTTTTACATTAACTCTTTCATGCCCGAAATGTTAAAAGCTACCCGTTAAAAACTTTTACATGAACCCAACAATACATAAAACACCAATTGCCCTCAATACACACACACGCACATGCGTATGGGATCCCACAAGCACACTACACAATATTTGAAGCACAAACTCCAGACAATCATTACTCCCACTACAGTTCCACGTACAGAACGTGGCACAAGGACCCTGTGGAGACTAATAGCAAAGCAGCTCCGAGAAGCATCATTGGAGTGCAAGGTGGCAGGCTCAACCTTAGTGGGTGTCCCCGCAGAGGCTCTGCCTCCCCCACGTCGTATGAGGCTTGGGCTTTTATACTGACCAAAATGCACACTCATTCCGACACAGGTGGCCAGCCTGTGCTGGGAGAAGTGGTCAGCAGTATCTACAGAGGTCTCCAAGGGTTGACAGAAACCTGGACATACTTATATTTACCAACTTCTAGTACATGAGTATCACAGAGAAACTGTATGGGCTCTCCCTGTCAATTGCAAGAAAAAATCATAACATATACAACTTGAGTATAAGAGGATTTTAACGCATACGTGGTCACTGTTTGGCAGGCCTCCTTAACTATTTTGAGATCAAGAGCTTCCCACTCTTTAGCCCCCTGCTGTGTAGTAAACACAGGATATGCAAAGATGCCCATTGCCGAAAATTCCCCAGTAATGATCGCATCCTTGGTTACCCATTGTTACAGCTGAGCGTCTCCAGGGCTAGTGAGTCTGAGCAGACCGACCCGGGAGACGAAGAGTCAGGGTCTGGAAGCAGAGGATATAAATCTGGCTCGGATTCAGGGGATTCGGGGGCTGATCCTGCGCCGAACTCGGGGTCTCCGTTGCTCGCAGCTGTGTCTTTCTTATCAGATGTCTCTCGTTCAGTATGTAGCCATCTGCAGACCTGGCTCCTCCGTGACTGAGTTAAAAATTTCCACTCTAGGGCATAGTGGGCTGGAGAGGCTCGCAGTTCCTTTAAATCTCCCGCTCGCGCATGATCTCTGTTTTCTACTGCGTGCTTCAAAATGGCGCTGCCATCGATCCGGTGCCGAGGCACCGCCCTCTTTCTTTCGGATTCCTCGACATTCATCATGCGTAACCCTTCTAATATACTTTCCCTGTCCTTTTCAAAGTCCCTACTTTCAGAACTGGGGTGGTGGGGGAGCAGGGGTTACACCTCCTCCGCTGCACCTTCTGATGAAGGAGGGGGAGAAAAGGGGGGGTGGGAAACCCTGGGCTCCCACGAGTTGAGGGGGGGGAACGAGTTGTAATCTTCCCCTGGTTTCAACCGACCGGGGACGTCTGTTCCTAGTTTCTCCGTTGCTACCGCGGCAGTTTTATTTTCTGCCTTGTATCCTTTTATACAGTTCATTACTTCTCTCCGTGGTTTACCGAGTTTCTTTGCCGTTTTATCATCATTAAACATTGAGTCAGATAGTTCATCACCAAACTTTCGCCACTCACTCTTCTCAAAAACTGTATTAGGATCTACAAAAAATCCCTTAGCCTTCCCTTCAGCCACTAGACCTGCTAGCTGCTTTAGAGTCTCAGGCTCAATTCCCTGCTTTTATAAAAAGCACTGTAAGAAGTTCAGGGCTCAGTTCCCCGCTTTTATAAAAAGCATTGTAGTAAGTCCAGGGCTACCTCTCGGTCCATTTTCATGGCGGCTTTTTCTGGATCGTCTTCTCCTGGATTGTCCTGTAACCTCGGTCTCCGGATCGGCCTCCCGACGCAGCAGTGTCTGGTTCGCCCCAGTGGCGGACTCCTTTCGGTTAGTCCAAGCACCCAGGTCCGTCACGCCACCGCAGCAGCATTGCCCGCGCTCCCTGGCTGCTGCCGCCAGCGCCGCTCACTCACCGTGCCGGGTCCCCGTTAACCGGGGCCCTGTAATCTGGGTCCCCGTTAACCGGGGCCCTGTATTCCGGGTCCCCGCTAACCGGGGCCCTGTAATCCAGGTCCCCGTTAACCGGGGCCCTGTATCCGGGTCCCCCTTAACCGGGGCCCTGTAATCCGGGTCCCCGCTATCTGGGGCCCTGTATTCTGGGTCCCCGCTAGTCGGTGCGTTGTATTCCAGGTCCCCAGTGACCAGGGCCCTGTAGTCCGCGTCCCTGTTTGGGTGCCATTTGTAAGCGGCTAGGAGAAGCAGACAGGCCAACCCAATATGGGTGATAAGCAAACTTCTACTTTATTTGTGACGCAGTTCACTTATATAGGAGTGGTATTCAGCCACTCCTCCTTGGCATAACAGTAGTGGTTAGACCCACAGCTTCCTCCACATTCTCCTCCCACCTCCAGTATCTGGTTACCTGTGGGGGCCACCCCCTGCCTTGCTCGCACAGTCCTCCAGGCCTCTATGGTCCTGCTCCTAGAGTCATTCTGCAACAGCTCCTGTCTGGGGAGGCTTTCCATGTCCTGGAGCAGCTCCTGGGCAACAGGCTGCCCTGGCCATCCTGTGCTGGCAGTGGGATCCTGCAGCAGCTCAGCATACACCCCGGAGCACTCCAGGGCTCAGTGGTCCCTGGCAGTGCTGAATCCCCATGATGATGGGTGCACTGGATCCCCCTGGGGCTCAGTGGGTCATTGTCCCCTCTGCAATGGGTGCATTGGATCCAGCAGTGATGGGTGCACTGGATCTGGCAACGACGGGTGTACTGGATCCTGCCGGGATCACCTGGATCCTCCCAAACACTGGGTGCTCTCCAGAGACCTGCTCCCTGATTAACTACTCTGCATGATCACCGGCACGCTGTGAAGGGCCAGGCTGTGATTGGCTGCCTGCAGATAATCCTGGAAGCTGGGCTACAATTGGCTGCCAGAGCATCCCCACCCACCTAAGCAGAGCTGTGACTGGCTGTGCTGTGACCGTGCCTCCTGCTCCTGCTGCCCCGGCTGCCTCTGGATTGCCTGTTGGCTGGGAGATCCAGTTGGGATCACAAAAGCTGGGCTCTGATTGGCTGCTGCCTGCCCCCTCGCCGCTTGGACCTGCCAATGCCAGCGCATCAGCTCTGCCAGGATCCGGCTCCACTCCCTACAGCCCCACGAAGACCTTGCTCTGAGCACCAGCGCTGCCGAAGAGCATCGCATCGGGGCGGGCGCGACAGTGCTGGTGCTGCATGGGGAGGCGGGCGGCTGGCTGGGCACAGGGCTGGGCTGGCACGCAGCCGCTGCCCCGGGGGATGGCGAGGGGTGTTGCCTGTTGTGTTCTCCAAGTGCTGACGCAGGTTTCCACATCGCAGGCTTCTCTGATCTGGCAGGAACTGGAGGCTGAAGAACAAGACACGCAGCTCGAGACACCCCAAAGGCCTGCAAGAAATCCCTGGAGGCCCCATGGCCAGAAGCAGAGTCCGGGCACCCACCAGCACCCAGATGAAGGCTGCATCAGATACTTTGTCCTGGCCACTACGGCCGCAATTGTGGCTCTCTTCCTGAACGTCTTCTACCCGATCATTTACCAGACCCGCTGGAGATAGGCACAGTCACACAGCCAGCTGCAGGCGCAGGGCTCCAGGTCATGCTGCATGGCAGCAGGACAAGCAGCCAGGAAGGACTCACCGAGGGAAGTGTGGAGCCGTCGGCTCCTGCCTGTCTGCTCTGCATCTCCGTGCCAGCACAGAATCAGGAGCCCCTCTGCCCTCCCTCACCCTTGCTGCATGTGGGGCAGACCTCGTGGCTACCTGCTGCTCAGGAAGGAATGTTGATGCTGCACACTGAGCACCTCCACTTGGTCCCAAGACAGAAGCAGAGACCTGCCAAGAGCCTGCTCCAAGGGCAGGATGCCCTGAGACAGTTCCTTGTCCAGTTGTGCTGCTGCAGGACCCCTGGGCCTGGTGTGATTGTGGCTCCTGGGCCAGCCCAATCCCTCCTGTTGAGCTTCCTAGTGCATCTGCCCCTACACCAGGAGTATTGTGCACTCTACCCCTATGCTGGGGCCTTGTCACTGAGGGCTGCTGTGCTTCCCCTTCACCCCTGCTGTGGATCAGGGTAATCTGAGCCGGGGTGCCCACGATGAGCACCCACCAGCACCGTGGGGGTCTCTGCCAGGAGAGCACATTGGGACCTCTGTGTGTTAGTAAATCCAGGTTTTCCAAACAGCTGCAGCATCCCTGTCCTGGTGTGCTGGGACCCTCACACAAGGGCAGGGACTCCACACTGGAGCCACCTCTCTGTGCCTGAGGCCACTCTGGAACAGCCGGCATGGGGACTGTGCCCTGTGCTGCACCGAGGGCCGGATGCACCCTGTGCTGCAGCAGGCTCGGGGCTGGGCTCTGCCTGCCCGTGCCATGGGGCACGTGCCAGGTGCAAGGAGCTCAGCAGCAGACCGTGCCGTGGGGTTGGGCCACGGGCTGCAGCTCCCGCGGTGTCTGACATTGAGACGTGTTGCCCTTGGCAGAGCATGGCTCAGACTGCTCCGGCGTGTTTGGGTGTGAGAGGTGACTTCAGAGCCCTGTGACTTCCTTTTCCGTCTCCATCGCTGTCCCACTGCCGGTGCCCTTGGCTGCCTCGGGAAGGATGCTTGGCAGAGAGGAAGCTCTCCTGTGTTAGTGCCTGCTGCTCAAGCAGCGCAGCGGGGAGCCGCCACCTCGCTCCTGCACCTCTCTCTGCACGCGTGCTGCGCCGTACCGGGTCCGTACCGCAGGCTGTGCCGTGGTCATGAGGTGTCCGTCCTGGAACAGTCGCCTCATTGTCTGCAGCTCTGGGGCTCGCCGGCTTCCCCCGCTCACCCACAGCGCCGGCCTCATGGGGCTGACTCAGTGCCCGGCACCAGGGCCATGCCCTCTGCTCCGGCTGTGGGTCGGGACCCACATGCTGCTGCCTGCTCTGCATGGAGCTGGGTGGCCGGCAGGGCCCTCTCAGCCCTTGGAAATCCCCTCTGGTCCTGCACTGGCAGCCGGCCTCACCGATGCTGGCCCCGCGCCCATGCCGGGGCGTCGGGCTCTGCTCAGACTGGCCCTGGCCGCGGCAGCCCCGGGGGCACGAGTGCCGGGCTGGGGAGAGGCTCAGCGTGCTGCAGCCTGGCTCTCCTCTGGCAGGCAGGTACCCCCAAGCATGCGGGGGCTGCCATCGCCTCCTGCTCTCCTGGTTGTACCTGCAGTGTGGGGTCCCTACACTGAGGTGCTGTCCTCCCCCAGGACGAAGGAGGGAAGAAGATGGGTGGGCAGGGTGCTGGTCTCCCTTCTCATCCCCACCTTCTGCTTGCAGGGTCTGCCCCCGGTGCCGTTTGGATCCGGCCTGGCCCCTGAAGCAGCCCCGGCTGCAGAAGGCCTCCCCGAGCGCTTCGCCAGCCCTGCCGAGCGCCCGACCCCCTCCTACAGCAGCATGGAAGAAGTCGACTGAGCACCGCGGGCACTGCCATGGGGTGTGCTGCCGGGCCGGGCACCGGGGTGGGGGGGGATGTGGTGGCGGTCGGGTCGGGGTTTGTCCTGCACTCATTAAACTCGTTCAACTCCACTCGGCTCCGCTGCCTGCTGTCCCCTGACGCCCTCTGCTGCTGCTGACGCCCCCGGGCACCGTGTCCTTTGCTGTCCCCCCACTCCCCTGGGTGCTCCCTGCTCGCTGTCCCCGCCATGGCCCTCAGTGCCGGGTGTTTCTCGGCTCAATGGAGGGGGACACCCGGTGTCCCCTCAGCGCTTGGAGTCCGTTCGTGTACCCCGTCACCCGCTGTCATCGCCGTAGTGCCTGCTGTACGCCGGTACCGCTGTGGCGGCACTGCAAATCTCAGTGCCCTACTGCCTGCTGGTGTCCCCCGGTGTCCCCTAGTGCCGGTGCGGCGGGACTGCAAGTCCCGGTTCCGTACCGCTAGCTGTCCCGGTGCTGGTTGATGCTTCGGCATTTCCAAGTTCCAGCACGCGATGTGCTTTATATCGTAGTGTCCCCAGTGTCCGGTATCCCCCGGTACCCCCCGGTGCCGGGACTGCAAGTCCCGTCAAGCCTCGGGCAGGCGTCACGTCCAATGGGGCTCGGGGGGCGGCGCGGCCGGTCGCTGCCTCCACCGCCTCCCGGTGCCGCGGCGCAGAGAGCCCCGGAGCGGCCGCGCGGCGCCGGCTCCGCAGCCCGGCTCTGAGCCGCCCGCCCGGCCCGGCCCGCCCCGCCGCGCCCCGCCGCCCTCAATGAGGTTCTTCCGACTCACCTTCAAGTGCTTCGTGGATTGCTTCTGAACCCCCCCCCTTTCCCCTTTCCCTGTACCCCCCCTTTTTTCCCTACGGCAAACGGAGCCGTCCCCGACCCACCCGCGCTCCCCGGCCCCCCGCGACATGCCCCCGGTCCCCGCCGATAAGGCCGCCCCGCAGCCACCCGCTGCTGCCCCGCAACGAGACGATGCCGCCGCCGCTGCTGCTGTTGCTCCCGCGGGCTCCGGTAAGCGGGAAACGACGGGGGAGAGATGAGGTTGGGAATAGCGGTGGGGAAGGGGGGGGTGGGTGGGTAGGAAGGGAAGAGGGGGGGTCCACGGCCACGCGCGACCGCGCCGCCGCGGGGTGAGTCACCGCTCTGCATTGTGACGTCACGCGGCCTGACATCTGACGTCACGCTTCGCCGTGCGGTGGGGAACGGAGGAGGAGCGGGGGATTCCCCCCCCCCCCCCGCTCCTCCTCCGTTCCCCACCGCACGGCCATGGGGTGACAGCACTGTATGGGGTGCCCCCCCCTCCCATCCCCATCTCAATAGAGACCCGTAGGGAAGCGGAGGGTACGGACCCCCCCACGGCGGGTGAGGAACGGGCAATAACGGCGCCGTTAGTGGGACCCCCCGGTCCCCCGAAAGCAACTGCAGCTCCGGAACGGGAGACGTGGGCCCGTCAGATGGATTTCATCATGTCCTGCGTGGGTTTCGCTGTGGGGCTGGGCAACGTCTGGCGCTTCCCTTACCTGTGCTACAAGAACGGCGGAGGTGAGCCCCATAGACACGAAGGGGGGGTCCCACAGAGTCATGTGGGGCACCACATGTTGCGTTAGAGCACCCCATAGCGTGTGTGTGTGGGGTCACCCCATGGTGGGGCCAGCTCGCCGTGCACCTCCCCGTGGCAAGGGCACATCCACGGGGCTCATGGGCCACCCCACAGGTGTCTGCTGCAACCCACAAGGATGGGGGGTCCATGGGGAGCCCCCCATCACCTGCCTGCCCTGACCTACATCGGCGAGGGGAGGGCTCAGAGGCTCCTTCCCCATTCGCTGTGCCCGGGGCGGGTGGCACAGGGAGGGAAGGGGGGGTCCGGGGGGGTCCGGGGGGAGCGGCGGCAGCTGAGCCGGCCCCGTTCCCTCTCCCCCCGGTCCCAGGCGTCTTCCTCATCCCGTACCTCATCATTGTCTTCGTGGGCGGCATTCCCGTCTTCTTCCTGGAGGTGGCCTTGGGGCAGTTCATGAAGCAGGGGGGCATCGCCGCTTGGAACATCGCCCCCCTCTTCAAGGGTAACACTGTGCCCTGCCTGCACCCCACACCCTGCCCGTGCCCTGCCTGCACCCTGCCCGTGGCCCCATGCGCCTGCAGCACCGAGGACACCGTCTGCCTGCACCCTGCCCACACCCTGCCTGCTCCTGTGTACCTTGTCCGCGTCCCGTTGCTCCCTTGCACCCTGGCCAAGGGCGGCAGCTGCCTGTCCCCGTGTCCCGTGCCATCCTGCCTGTCCCTGCCTGCCGCTGTGGCTCCCTGCCTGGTGCTGTCAGCATCCCCAGGGCATCCCTGGGGCTGACAGATCGTGGTGCTGTGTGGCTATCCCCATCCTGTCCCACCTGAGGCTGCCAGATTCCCGTGTCCCATCCCTGACAGCTCCCTCTGTCCCATCCCTACCAGCTCCTCCTTTCCCATCCCTACCAGCTCCCTCCTGTCCCCTCCCCACCAGCTCCCCCTCTCCCATCCCGATCAGCTCCCTCTGTCCCATCCTCACCAGCTCCTCCCTATCCTACCTTCAGCTGCCCCGTGTTGTCACCATGTCCTGCCCCATCCCTGCCTGCACCCCTCATCCCACCCCAGGCTCTGCTGTGGGTGCCCACGGGCTCTGACCTCCCTGTGCCACAGGTCTGGGTCTGGCTTCTATGGTGATCGTCTTCTTCTGCAACTCCTACTACATCATGATCCTGGTGTGGGGACTCTACTACCTGGTGCACTCACTGACGGACACGCTGCCCTGGGCCACGTGCGGCCACCCCTGGAACACGGAGCAGTGCACTGAGCTCTTCCACTTCGAGCTCTGCTACAACGCCAGCATCAATGCCACCGCCGAGCTCTTCAACGTCAGCTGCGCAGACATGGGCAACAAGCGCTCGCCCGTCATCGAGTTTTGGGAGTGAGTGTGGGCACCACGAGGGCTGTCCTGGGGCTGATGCCATCACCCCAGTGCTCAGCACGGCCCCGCTCTGCAGGAACAAAGTGCTGCGGCTCTCAGGGGCCCTCAGCGAGCCGGGGGAGATGAACTGGCAGATGATCCTCTGCTTGATCGCTACCTGGGTCATCGTCTACTTCTGCATCTGGAAGGGCGTCAAGTCAACCGGGAAGGTGATGCTGGTGGTGGGGAGAATGCATTGGAGACACCAGCACACCGACACTGCTGGCTCCTGTGCCACAGCCCATGGGGTGCAAGACCCCCTGTCCCACATCTGTCTGCTGGGGATGTTCTGGAGTTCCGGTCCCTTTGTGGCACACGATGGAGAGCCCCCAGCCTAGGTGAGGGTCTCACCAGCACCCTCTCCTCTGCAGATCGTCTACTTCACAGCACTCTTCCCCTACGTGGTCCTCATCCTGCTGCTGGTCCATGGGGTGACACTGCCTGGGGCACTGGGTGGCATCATCTACTATCTGAAACCTGACTGGTCCAAGCTGGCCGAGGCACAGGTGAGGGCAGTGGAGAGGGCAGGAGGAGAAGGGGACCCCCCTAACACTTTCCTTGCTCCCCAACACCCTCCCTTGCATGCAGGTGTGGATTGATGCTGGCACCCAGATCTTCTTCTCCTACGCCATCGGTTTGGGTGCCCTGACCGCGCTGGGCAGCTACAACCGCTTCCACAACAACTGCTACAGGTAGTGCTGCACCAGCTGTCGGTGTCCCCTCCAGTGCGTGTCCCCCCCGGTGTCCCCTGACCCGCTCTGCCCACAGGGATGCCTACATCCTGGCCGTGATCAACAGCTCCACCAGCTTCTTTGCCGGCTTCGTTGTCTTCTCCGTGCTGGGCTTCATGGCATCCGAGCAAGGCGTGGACATCTCCAAGGTGGCTGAGTCCGGTGAGTGCCAGGCAGCGGTGACACCGGTGCCATGTCCCCTGTGTCCCACCCTATGGTGGCACCGCTGACCCCGCTCTCCCACAGGCCCTGGGCTGGCTTTCATCGCCTACCCCAAAGCCGTGACACTGATGCCCTTGTCCCCGCTTTGGGCCACGCTCTTCTTCTTCATGCTCCTCGTGCTGGGGCTGGACAGCCAGGTGCAGGGCGGACAGGGGGGACGGGGATGGGCAGGGGCACGGGGTGGTGTGTCCCCACTGAGCCCTGCTCTCTGCCGCAGTTTGTCGGCGTGGAGGGTTTCATCACGGGCATCCTGGACATGTTCCCCCAGCCGGGGGCTGGCTCGCTGCGCCGTGAGCTCACCGCTGCGCTCTGCTGCATCATCTTCTGCCTCATCGACCTCTCCATGGTCACAGAGGTGGGATGATGGAACCTTGGGCCCTGGCGTGGGGTGGGAGATTCCTGGGGTGCTGCACCCACGGCGGGTGCCCGTTGTCACCAGTGTGCTGTGGGAGCTCAGGGTGTCCATGGCATGCAGGGTGCCCATGGTCAAGGGACACTGGTGCTGTGCCCCTGCCGGTGTCAGGGTGCCTGGCACAGTCCCGGTGACACGCGGTGTCCTGGCAGGGTGGCATGTACGTGTTCCAGCTCTTTGACAACTACTCAGCCAGCGGGATCACGCTGCTGTGGCAAGCGTTCTGGGAGTGCGTGGTCATTGCCTGGGTCTACGGTGAGGCCAGGAGGACATGGGGAGGGCGTCACGCAAGGGGACGTGGGTGCTCTATGGGGCTGACCTCCTTCTCCCCATAGGTGCCGACCGCTTCATGGACGACGTGGCCCGTATGATTGGCTACCGGCCCCTGCCCTTCATGAAGTGGTGCTGGGCTGTGGTGACGCCGCTGGTCTGCGTGGTGAGCGGGGCTGACACATGTGTTCATGCGTGTCCTTGCATGTCCTCGCGTGTCCTCGCTGCCACGGGCACTGAGCTCCCCCAGGCGGCTGCTTTGGGCACGGCAGCCACGGGGTGACACGCGTGTCAGGGTTACGGGGTGACATACGTGTCAGGGTCACAGGGTGACACGCATGGGGGGTCTGTGGCTGCCATCCCCTGGCCTGCAGGACCTCATCGCAGTCTCTGTACCCAGGGCATCTTCGTGTTCCACGTGGTGAACTACAAGCCGCTGACCTACAACAAGACATACGTGTACCCGTGGTGGGGGGACGCCATTGGCTGGGTCCTGGCTCTCTCCTCCATGCTCTGCATCCCCTGCACCCTACTCTACAAGCTCCTGCGCTGCAAAGGCTCCCTGCGTGAGGTGAGGGGGCTCCAGCCCACCCCTCTGCTCTGTCCTTGTTCCCCCCTCCCATCCCCATCCCAGTCCCATCCCAGCACTGTCCATGTTGCCACATCAGTCCCATGCCCAGCCAAATCCCATCCCTGTCCCCATCACTGTCTCACTCCAAACCTCACCTGAATTCCATTCTTGCTTAGGTCACTGTCTCAGTCCCTTCCCCATCCGAATCCAATCTCTATCCCTCTTACTTCCTGATAAATCCTGTCCCTAGCCCATCATTGTCTCAACCCTGTCTCCATCTCATCCCTGTCCTCTTCTCAATCCCATTTCAATCCCTTTGCTCTCCTAGATGCACCCACATCCCCATCCAAGTCTCTTTCCTGTGCTTATCACTCTCCATAAAAATCCCATCCCTGTCCCCATCACTGTCTCACTCCCAACCTCACCCATGTGAGACACCCAAGTGAGACATCGCTTTCTTAATCCCATCACCATCTCAGTCCCATCCCTGTCTCAATCCCTTCCTCATCCTGGTCTCACTTCCATCCCCATCCAAATCCCCACCCCATGCATCAGGGATATGGGACGCACCATGTCGGGTCGGGGCTGTCCCCATGCACTGACACAAGGTCCCCGCAGCGCTGGCAGCTCCTGACCACTCCAATCTGGGGCCACCACCACCTGGAGTACCTGACACCCGAGGCAGAAGCCAAACTGCTGACCCCAGAGCCCCCCAAGGAGAAGGCGACGCTCTTCGAGACTGTGATCTGAGCACTGGGAGGGTCGCGCTGCTCCCGCCTGCCATAGCAATAATGCCAGCACTGCCTCCCACCGCTCTGCCCCGTGCCCCCCGCACCACCCTGGCCCCCCGGCCTCGCTGCAGGGAAGGGTTAATGGGGGCCAGGGAGCCGGGGTGGCTGCGGGGAGCAGGAGGGGTCCCCGGGCTGGGGGGGGGGGAAGCAGGGCAGCCCCTAGGGGCTGGTGGGGAGGCTGCGGGTTTGGGGAGGGGGAGCAAGGGACAGCCCAACTCCGGCCCCACCCGGCCCCCCTCACGGCCCCCCCCTCACTAACCGCTTCCTGTAGCGTTTGTCTGGTGTAACCCCGACCGCCCCGACATCTGGCAATAAACTGGGAGACCCTGGCAGCACCGGCACTGCGAGGCGGGAGGGATGGGGGTGTGGGACAGGGGCTTGGGGGCTCAGGGACGTGGTTCCACTCTTGGGGTGACTCAGAGGGGACAGGCAGCAGGGGCCATGGGGTTTCCATCCTCTTCCATTGCAGGATGTACCAAACCCGGGTTTCCCTATGGGACTGAGGAGCCCCATGTAGGTAGGGTTGGCCTTGCTTTCAAGTCCCAAGGGACGGATTTCAGCTACTGGGGGCTTTTAGGGTCCTAGATGTCCCCAGACCATAGTGGGGATTGCAGGGGTCAGTCAGGATCCAGCCATACTCCACTGGGAGCTGCTTGTGTTGACTTCGGGGTTCTGGTCTCCCTGTGCTGTGCTGCAGGAACGGTTCTGGGATGAGGAGGGATGAGGAGAGATGAGGCAGCCCTTGAGCCCCACTATGTAGCTGGGAGAAGCCAGAGGCTCAAGCTGCCTGCACCCAGTCCCAATGGGGTGCCAACCACGGGGTGCACGTGCCCTGTATCGCATCCCACAGCTCCAGCCCATGCCATGGGGACCTGCACGGTGGCATGAGGAAGCCCCTGGCACGCCGTGCTGGGGTGGCTGCCAACTGTCCCTGTGCCCTGGCTGTGTGTCAGCATCCTGATGTGCCCGGTGCTGGCACCTATCGCCGTCCAGCAGCACCGTGGGCGCTGCCCGTGGAAGGACAAGGAGGGAGAGGTGCCAGCATCTGCCTGGGCCAACCTGGAGCACAGCACTGGGGCAGCATGGCTATGCCAGGGGGGTATGTCCTGCCCCTTCGGGGTCATTGGGGTGCCAAAGGGGCTTGTCTCGGGGCGAGCCGGCAGTTCCTGCCCCACCGGCAACACTCACCGTAATTAGCAGGGGCAGGGCGGAAGCACCGGCGCTAATTGGGGATGACTCGTTAGTGCTGGAGCGCCGCATGCCCGGGGCACGGCTGGACTTTCCGGCACGGCTGGTCTGCGGGACCGGTTGACATCCCATCCCGGTGCACCGGGTCCTGGCTGGGTCCCCGTCATCACCTCCCCTTCATGTCACAGCACGTTCCGTCCCACCACCCTCTGTAAAAGACTGGTGGTGGTGGTGAGAGCAGGTGGAGGCAGGCAAAGAAGAAGCAGAGACAGGGATAAGGGGCAGTTGGGGCACCATTTGCTTCCCCCACGGATTCCCTGGAGCCCCCCGCCGGGCACCATGAACCGGATCACGGTGTACGAGCACGCCAACTTCGAGGGGCTGAGCCGGGAGTTCACCTGCGACGTGCCCGACCTGCACGAGCTGGATTTCGGGGACTGCATCTCCTCTCTGAAGGTGGTGGGGCAGCCCTGGATCGCCTACACAGACCCCAAGTACGAGGGGCAGCCGCATGCCTTCGAGGAGGGTGAGTACCCCTCCATAGAGCGATCCAACAGCTTCTCAGCGCTGCGCCTTGTGCACCACGACCTGGGGGACCCCCAGATCACCCTCTATGAACACCCCAACTTCCAAGGTGCCTGCAAGGTGGTGACGGAGGAGACCAACTTGGCGTACGGGTACTTCAATGACCGGGTGGCATCTCACGTGGTGCAGCGAGGGGTCTGGCTGCTGTACCAGCACCCCGGCCGTGGCGGCTGGCACTGCCTGGCATGGCCCGGTGAGCGCCTCCCTGACTACAAACTGGAGCTGAACTTCCAGTCTCGGCTGTCCCACCTGCGCCCGCTGCGGCCGGGGCGGCCCCAGGTCTCGGCGCGTCTCCTCTGGAAGGAGAAGCGGGTAGAGGATGAGCGGGAGGTGCTAGTGGATGAGGTGGAGGGGGTGAACGAGACGGAGTCGGAGCAAGTGCTGGCGGCCAGCAGCAGCCGGGAGTACGGCACCACGCTCTGGCAGAGCTTTCACTTCAGCAACGCCACCAGCCTTAAAGCCGGGCTGTCCTTCACACTCGCCGTGGAAGCCTCCAACATCTTCACGGTGCAGAAAGGACACAGCGAATCCAGCACCCGCCGGGAGCGGGTGGAAGTGCAGCTCCCGGCCAAGATCCCCCCGCGTACGGCGCTCAGCATCCAGGTCTTGAGGAAAGAGGTGACTCTGTCGGTGCCGGTCCTGCTCACCATCACCCAGAATGAAACCGTGCGTACGGAGATGGGCGAGTACCGCAGCGTCTCCGGTACCAACATCAGTGCCCGCTATAGCTTGAAGCCTCTGTCGGCGGCAGGCAAGGAGCAGGCAGCCGCTGAGGGGACAGAGCTGGTGCCGGACACCGGGATGGAGCTGTAGCTGTGTGGGATCCCCGGAGACACCGGCGCTGCCTGTCTATGGAGGAGCCAGGACTCGCCTTTTCTGGCCGTATCCGATGGCTCCAGCCGCAAGGAGCTGTCGGTGCCTCTTCCCTTTACGTGCTGCTTTTAGCCAATAAACCCGTTTTCCTACCCCCCCGGATCTGCGGCTGCTGGGGTGGGCTTGCGGGAATGGGAGACACAAGGCTGGGAGAGCTGGGGGACACCGGGCTGAGGGACACTGGGGAGAGACGGATGAGCTGGGGACAGAGGGCTAGGGGGACTTCGTGCTGGGGAAGTTGGGGGTACACTGGGGTGGGAAGGACACCGGGCTGCGAAAGCCAGGGAATTCCAGTCTGTGGGAGCCGGGAGTCACTGGGAAGAGCTGGGGACAGCGGGCTGGGAGGGGACACCAGACTGGGGAGACACCAGGCTTGGGGGGGGCAAGGGATGCTGGGCTGGGAGAGCCGGGGGGCACTGTGCTGAGGGAAGCGGACATTGGAGCGGGGAGACAGCGGGGCAGGGGGTGGGCAGGGGCTGGGGCAGCTGCTGGGACACGGGTTTGGGCCCCGCCCCGATGCTAGGCCCCGCCCCCGGCCCCGCCCCCCACGTGGCTGCCCCCGGTGCCTGTCTCTTTAAATGATGCCACCGCCCACACGCTTGGCCCCGCCCCCTGCGCGCCTATTGGTGGAGCCGGTTCCGAGCTCCCCCCGGCCTATTTCCCAAGTCAAACTCCTCTCGCTGTCGATTGGCTCAAGCTGTGACAGCGACACGCCCTCCCCACCCCGATTGGCTGGGCGTAGCCACGCCTCCGGGAGCGGGCGGTGGCGGTGGCGGCAGCATGGCGGCAGCGGCGGGGATGATGGCGCCGGAGGAGGCGGAAGAAGCGCTCGGGCTGTTCACCGGTATCGGCCTCAGCGAGGCCAAAGCGAGAGAGACGCTGCGGAACGGGGCGCTCAGCGCTCTGCTGCGCCGCGCAGTGCTGCAGGTGCGCCCGCCGCGGACCACAACTAAGTCACTCGGTCCCCGGGTCCCGTATTCCCCGGGTCCCTCGGTTCCCTGATCCCTTGGTTCCCCGATCCCCCGGTTCCCCGATCCCCCGGTTCCCGGGTCACTCAGTCCCCCTGTTCCCAGACCTCCCGGTTCCCGGTACAGCGCCATTACCGCAGGGACCCTGCCTCTTCCCCGGGATCCCCCCCCCCTCCCCGGCTTCACCGAGCAGCCTCAGCCCTTGGCATTCCCACCTCCCGCCAGCCTCGGGGCCGCCGTTTCACCGGTGCTGATCCCCGGGCCCGCCCTGACGCTTCCTCCGGACGGTCCTGGCAGGCTCAGAGCGCACTGGGCCCGGCCCTGGACAAAGCCACAGGGACGCTGCTGTACAACGCGGCCGCTCGGCTCCGGGACCCGAAGCACCTCGGTTTCCTCGTCGGCTACATCGCCCGCAGGGAGATCCTCACCGACCTGCAGCTCAGCGGTACCCTGCAGCGCCGGGACCCCCACCCCGGTACCGGCGGGGATGTCCCCGTTCATCACCCCCTCTCTGTCCCCAGCTGCCCTGGAGTACGTGCGGAACCACCCCCTGGAGCCCCTGGATGCGGCGGACTTCGAGCAAGCCTGTGGCGTGGGGGTCTGCATCACCCCTGAGCAGATCGAGGAGGCGGTGAGAGGGGCTGGATGGGCACCGTGAGGGACACTGCGTCGTGCTCCTGCTTGCCCTGCTCACCCCAGCGTCCTTGTCCTGCTCCCCAGGTAGAGGCAGTGATCAGCGAGCACCGAGCGGAGTTGCTGGCCGAGCGCTACCACTTCAACATGGGGCTGCTGATGGGTGAGTGTGGGGCGCTGGGGCAGACTCTGCTATCGCTGCTGCCTCCTTTCTGTACCCTGAGAGCCAACCCTTTGCCATGGGCTGCACCAGCCCCAGCTGTTGTGCCACATCCACTGCAGGCAGGGCTGAGGGTGGCGGTTGTGCCCTGCACCAGGGGCAGCCCTGGGGCAAGCGCTGCCTCCGGCCACTCTCTGTGGCTATGTCCTTTGCCCATGGGGTGCCCTGTCTGCAGGGGAGGCGCGGAGCCGGCTGCGTTGGGCCGATGGGAAGACCATCAAGAACGAGGTGGACCTGCAGGTGGGTGTGAGGGCAATGGGTCAGGGGTGCTTGGGATGGTGTCCCATGTTGGTGCCATGCTCAGTGTGGGACGTCCTGGGCTGTCCCATGGGAGGGACCAGTGCTGGACACATCCTGCAGGGTTGGGTGAGGGTCACCTCCAGGACTTGGGGCACCAGGAGCCTTCTCTACTTCTGTTTGTGTCTCTTTTCTCCAGGTGCTGCATTTGCTGGGTCCAAAGACAGAAGCTGACCTGGAAAAGAAACCAAAGGTGAGGAGGAGGAGAAGGGAGAAGCTGGGCATTGGGATGGTGTTTTCCAGCTGAGTGACAAGGCAGAAGCCCAATAGCTGCTCTGTGCTCAGCTGCCACCATGAGGAGCACTGGGGGCAGTAGCCTGGGCCAGGAGGGGAAGGTGCATACTGGGGATGAGCACTCAGGATGCTCTGCTGGTCCCTGCAGGCTGCAAAGGTCCGGCCAGCCCCGGTGGAGAAGCAGAAGGCAGCTGTGGTGGAGAACGGTAAGAGACTCTCCTTCCATGGGCAGCTTCCCCAGCCCTTCGGGACCTGTCTCCTCTCCCTGCTCAGCCCTGTCTCTCCTTGCAGGTGAGGTGGGCACAGAGACACGGTCCCTGCTGGAGCAGCTGCGAGGAGAAGCTCTCAAATTCCACAAGCCAGGTGAGTGCGAGGAGCAACCACCATGTGTGTGGGACCAGCTTGGCCCCGTGCCCTTCCTCACCACTGCTGGGCTTGGCTCAGTTTGGGTGCTGCAGCCCTGAACATCTTCTGCCTGCAGGAGAGAACTACAAGACGGAGGGTTATGTGGTGACCCCCAACACCATGGCTCTGCTGAAGCAGCACTTGGCAATCACGGGTGGGCAGGTAAGGCTGTGTCCCCCAGGCCAGCAGTTCCCCGTGGTGGTGGCACTGATGTGCCATGCTCTGGTTGGGTGGTGGGTTGGCTGGGGGACACTCAGCTCAGTGTGGACACGGCCAGCACCCATGTGGCATGGGGAGCTCTCTGGAATCATGGAGGAATCATGCCAGTGCTCCCAGAGGTGTCCCTTTCCTTCCTGCAGGTGCGGACACGGTTCCCTCCTGAGCCCAACGGGATCCTGCACATCGGCCATGCCAAAGCCATCAACTTCAACTTTGGCTATGCCAAGGTAAGAAGCTCCTCAGCTCCTGCCTGCCCTGGCTGCTTGGCCTGTCCCTGTGGTCTCTCAGGGAGTGGCTGCTCACTGTCCCTGTCCCCAGGCCAACGGTGGCGTGTGCTTCCTGCGCTATGATGACACCAACCCCGAGAAGGAGGAGGAGAAGTACTTCACTGCCATCCGGGACATGGTCGAGTGGCTGGGTACAGCTTGGGATGGGGCGGGCAGGGTCAGGCCAGGCGCTGCTGGGGACATCCCTGCATGCAAGTCCTGCTGCTGTGTCCTGGGGGTGCCTCCAACTGTTGTGTTTCCCCCATCCCCACAGGCTACCAGCCCTATGCAGTGACCCATGCATCAGATTACTTTGACCAGCTCTACACTTGGGCCCTGGAGCTCATCCGCAGGCGAGTGTCCGGGGACAGTATGGATGTACCAGCATGGTGCAGATGTCCTGTGCCATGGCCAGGGTTCCCCCTCACCCAAGGGATGGGTCATTCGTTTCTGGTGATGGTGGTTTCCCTCCATAGGGGCCAGGCATACGTCTGCCATCAGAAGATTGAGGAGATCAAGGGCCACAACCCACCACCCTCTCCATGGCGGGACCGGCCAGTGGAGGAGTCACTCCTGCTCTTTGAGGTACTCCTGGCTGGGCACGGGTGATGTGTGCCAGTGGGGTCTGGGTCCATGGCTCAGCTGACAGCTTCCCCCTGCCCCACAGGACATGCGGAAGGGCAAGTTTGGGGAGGGGGAGGCCACGTTGCGGATGAAGCTGGTGATGGAAGATGGGAAGATGGACCCCGTTGCGTACCGCGTCAAGTTTACTCCACACCACCGCACTGGGGACAAGTGGTAGGGAGGGTCTGCGGTGTCCTGGCATGTGTGGGTCTGCATCTCCTGGGAATGGGGAGGTGATGCAGACTGACTGTGGGGTCTGACTGTGTCTGCCTTTGCAGGTGCATCTACCCCACATACGACTACACACACTGCCTCTGCGACTCCATCGAGCACATCACGCACTCCCTCTGCACCAAGGAGTTCCAGGCCAGGTGAGTACGGCCTGGCCCATGGCTGGGATGGACCTGATGGGGCAACTAGCCACATCCCGGTGGCTGCCGAAGTGTGTTGGATGACAGTGCATCCATGGATGGGTGTGAGGCTGTGTCTCCTTTGCAGGCGCTCCTCCTACTTCTGGCTGTGCAATGCACTGGATGTCTACTGCCCCGTGCAGTGGGAGTATGGGCGCCTGAACCTGCTCTACACTGTTGTATCCAAGAGGAAGATCATCCGGCTGGTGGAGACGGGTGCTGTGAGGTAGGAGTGGGGTCAGCAGGCACTGCGGGTCTCACCTAGGGCAGTGCCTGGCTGTCACACAGGCCAATGCCTGGCTGTCACCCTGGTGTCTCTTCAGGGACTGGGATGACCCGCGGCTCTTCACGCTGACAGCCCTGCGCCGGCGAGGCTTCCCCCCCGAGGCCATCAACAACTTCTGTGCACGGGTAGGTTCTGGGGATAGGGTGGGATGGGGCAGGTGGATGTGTCCCCTGCACAGTGTGGTGACAGTACGCTGTCCTGCAGGTTGGTGTGACAGTGGCCCAGGCAACGATGGAGCCGCATCTCCTGGAGGCATGTGCACGGGAGGTGCTGAACGAGCAGGCCCCCCGTGCCATGGCTGTCCTGGAGCCCCTCAAGGTCACTATCACGAACTTCCCTGCCCCTAAGGTGAGACTGCTGCAGGATAGGGTGGGAGTGGGGTTCACCAGGGTCAGCATTAACCCCCTCCTTTTCCCCAGGCACTCGAGGTCCTTGTGCCCAACTTCCCAGCCGATGAGAGCCGGGGTTTTCACAAAGTGCCCTTCCAACCCACTGTCTACATTGAGGAGACAGACTTCAGGGAGGTGAGC